TGACAATCGGTTCTTTCCAACAAAGTGGACCGGTCAATAGATTAGTTCCCGGTCCAACCAATCAGACCTAGTCCTCCGTTTTCAATTAAGTTATTGTACAATGTAAATTTTCAACTATTTTTTTTTTCTTATTAGCTATTATAAAAAAAATTAACTTATAATGTATCAAGTTATCTATTAGCCAAATTATCAGTTGGATCACCCAACATTGCCTAAATATGAGTTAAATCTTTTCTATATGTGATTTTCTATTGAGACACTTACAAAAATTCATAAGACAGACAAAATTCAAGACATTGACTAAAAAGTTCATAAAACGATTTTTATGGATAAAATTCAACATGATGGTTATAATAATGTATATATGCCCAATTATATGCAAAATAATATTGTTAAAATTTTTTTGAATGAAAAAAAAAATAATAATAAGATCCTAAAAAATAAATAGCTCAGATACGCCAGATGTTCATCTATAGATATGATGAAGAGCGACAGACCCAACTGTCGCAAGGCGCAAATTATCATCACAGCTTTGCACCAGCCGGGAATCGAACCCGGGTCTGTACCGTGGCAGGGTACTATTCTACCACTAGACCACTGGTGCTTGTTGTACCTAAGCCGTTTTCTATATTATTAATCGTATACCTTAGTAATTGTATCATTTTTTATTCATCATTTTCTAACACGCCGTACGACGCCGTTTAATGCCTGAAGTTACAGACACAACTTTCTATCCACTGCAGCTGCATTCATCGAGCTCCCAGAAAAACAAGAATGTCCTCTTCTCCCCTCCCTTCTCGTCTCCTACCTCTCCCTGCCAAACCGCCGCCGTCGCCGGCCACCTGCACCGCGTTCCTTCGCCTGCTGCCGCCGGACCGGCCTTTCGGAGCCTCCACCAGAGCGTCCCGGTTCAAGTGCTCCGCCGGGGGGTCCGGCTTTTTCACCAAGCTCGGCCGGTTAATAAAGGAGAAAGCCAAGAGCGACGTGGAGAAGATATTTTCTGGGTTCTCCAAGACTAGAGACAATTTAGCCGTTATCGATGAGCTTCTGCTCTATTGGAACCTCTCCGACACCGACCGGGTTTTAGATGAGCTGGAAGAGGTTCAAGATTTTAGCTTTCCTTTATTTTGTTTTTTTTCTTCAATAAAATCGTCTATATGCTACTATTTCTCGCATGATTTTCTTTCTTTTTCTCCCCATCACATAAAGAGGGAAATGCTACAGGACATTTGTAACCGATAGATCATCATGTAACCGTCGGGGATAGTTGATCTAACGGCTACAAATCCCGACGGAATAGTTCCGTAACGGGACCGTAGCATCTCCCCACATAAAGATTAGATAGAGTTGAATGATTTTTGTTAATTTTTGTGACTTTTTTTTTTTTTTCTTAGAACATCATGGGAGAACGAGCACATCATATTACATTTTGTTCTCTATTACTTCATTAATTTGTTCAGGGATCATGTTAGTATGAAGTATCCATTGATGGTTTGTTGTTAAATGTTAATGTTCTAATGCCTACAATTTAATCAATGGTTTGTTTCTGCTTTTTTTTTTTTGCTGCTTCTAGGCATTGCTAGTTGCTGATTTTGGACCTAGGATTACTATAAAGATAGTCGAGAGCTTGAGGGATGATATATATGCCGGCAAGCTCAAATCCGGCAGTGAAATCAAAGTAACGATTCTGACATTTTCTGTTTACTGTGTTATTGCTCTATTGGATGTCAGGTTGATACTTTTTCTCATACTTTGCTAGCCTAATGTAGGATGCCTTGAAGAGGAGTATATTGAATTTGTTAACAGCAAAAGGACTTAAAACTGAGTTGAAGCTGGGTTTCAAGTAAGAATTTGCAACGGAAACTTGTGTTGTTTTTTCATGTTGAGTGCTACCGAGAGTTGCTAATTTATTGTCTTCACTAGGAAACCGGCTGTTATCATGATTGTTGGTGTCAATGGAGGTGGTAAGACTACATCTCTTGGTGAGTCCATCCAGGGGTTGATGAAATCTGTTCTACATTTTTGTGATAATTCCAAATACTAAACCTTAGGGTTTAGGCTACTTTCAAGAGAAAAAAAAAAAAAAAATTGTCATCTTTCAAAATTACGATTGTCCATTCGAGGTGTTTAAGACAGCTCCTCGGGGTTCCTTGTTGAGGATGTAATCGTATAATCAAAATCTATGTCCTGGATAATGAGTTTATTTATCTATTTATTTATTTACTTATTTATTTTTTTCAGAAGTCTAAACCTCAAGCTTAGTTTTTGTAACATACGGAATTTCTAGTCCTTGACTTTATGCTTGGCTGAAAGATTTGCATGTGGAGTACTAATCAAATACGATAAGTTAACTTTTGACTTTGCTTTTCATTATCATCAATCTAGAACTTTTTCTTAGCTGATTCAGAATTTTATCAATCATGTTGGTTAGCTTTAGGAGACATTTCAAACATTAAGTTCATTTTTAGATGAATATTCGTCGTCGTGATATTTTTCAAATCTTTTACGGCAGTATTACTTGTAAGTTTCCAGAGACATAACTTGTAAGTTCTCTCTGCAGGAAAGCTGGCCAATAGATTGAAAATGGAAGGGAGCAAGGTGAGACTGATGCTTCAGTTATATTCATTTACTGTAAATATGCCATGGATTTATGTGCTGTAACTTTGAGTTAGTAAGTGTCACTGGTCTATTGGTACTGAGAACTGAATAATGAGAAATGTGCCTTGAGAGTGTTTGCAAACATTTTTTTACAAACGAGCGATTGTCAGCCTTTGGCTTTATATGAAAAAGGTTTTTGGTATATTCTAATGCCAAACATACTTCTTTTTCTATTGTTAGAAAAAATAAACATGGGGGAAAGAGTTAGAATATTTATTTTGCTAACTCATTAATAGAGTACTTTTATAACTTATTCATTAAAATTTCATTTTATTTCAACTACTTTTCGACTCTGCTATGATTAATTTCTTTCTTGCGAGGAAGAGTTTTTTGTTCACACTTCCTTAATTGCTAAGTTTTTTGAGCAAAAATGTTGACACTTGGAACTTCATTTTTACTATCTCATTTCTTTGTGTTTTTTCACTAGGTATTGCTGGCTGCAGGGGACACATTTAGAGCAGCCGCAAGTGATCAATTAGAGATATGGGCGGAAAGAACAGGTTGTGAGATTGTTGTGGCTGAAAAAGAAAATGCAAAAGCATCATCAGGTAAATGATGGCACGTCCAAATTAGTACCCCAAGAAAAAAAAAAAGGGACAAATATATTAATGTGTGCAATAATTGATCCTGACACGTGATCTTCAAGTTTTTCTTGAGTAGTTCTTTCACAGGCCGTGAAACGGGGAAAAGAACAAGGTTTTGATGTTGTTTTATGCGACACGTCTGGACGTAAGGTTTTACAGCATATGCATTTAGCTTCGTTTTTCGCACTTGATTTTTAGCTGATTCAGTGATTCAACCTTTCACCTTCTTTCCTCATCTGTTGGCAATTGACAGGTTTGCACACTAATTACAGCCTTATGGAAGAACTGATTGCATGCAAGAAAGCTGTCGGGAAAGTTGTCTCTGGCGCACCCAATGTCAGCATTTTCTGATTCCTAATTACATTAAATTACAAGAATTAGCTCAACTTTCGCGAAATACAGGAAGCATCCAAATCTCATCCCAAATAACAACCATGTTCCTACGGTGTTAAGATTTAAGAACAATTTTCTACATGTTTGTATCTACTACACAATTCTCCTCACCGAGGGGGTGGTTGTAAAATTTAAAAAAAGATATAGGGGCATTTATATTATTGGAAGATGGTTGTTTTTCTTTTAATAATAATCTTAATGATATATTTATAATTAGCTGTGTCTGACTGTATTACCTGATTTTGAGTTGTTTTTTATCCAGAGCGAGCAATATATAAATAATTTTTGTAAAATTTTGGCAGGAAATCTTGCAAGTGTTGGACGGAACAACTGGGTTGAACATGCTCACTCAGGCAAGGGAATTCAATGATGTAAGTTCTATGCTGGTTTTGGCCTTACAATAAAATTTCCGTATTTTCTTACAATAAACAGCCTACAATAGGCTTTGCCAAATGCCCTCATATATCTGAATGGATCTGTTGCCACAGGAAAAAAAAAAAAAGAAAAAAAAAAAATTCTTGCTTGGTAAAAAAAAAGAGGGGTATTTGGGTCTTTGTGATATATTCTTGAAGATGCCACTTTACGTTTGAGAGTTCGCATAGAACCTTTGATTAGATCTTGCTCACAGTCTGGTACCTTTACATAGTGTAAAAAATGTAGTCATCTCTCTCTCTCTCTCTCTCTCTCTCTCTCTCTCTCTCACTCTCTCGGCTTGCCGAGAGGACAAAACTTAGCAATAGTGAGACCAATAGCATATGTATGCTCATTTTCATCTAATTTAAATTGAATATAAAGATCAAAATCACCCTCAATCAAATAACTACTGGAGTACATCAGGTGACGGTTGATGGGTATTTTGGCAAGATATTTAGATTTAATTATAAACACGCAGTGAAAAGGATTTTTCACCTAAGAATTTCTTTCATTAGAATTTAAAAGAAATGATCTTATGGGACTTGGCAGTAAGTTCATTGTGAAATATTCCTATTTTTTAATAAGCTTCAGAATGTCGTGCAACATAATGCTAAATGCGCAGGTTGTTGGCGTGACTGGTTTGATTTTGACGAAGCTAGACGGATCTGCCAGAGGTGGATGTGTGGTATGCGTCAAAAAAAAAAAAAAAAAAAAAAAACTATTTGTTTACCAGAACTCAATTATTATTGTGATTCTCATTATTTGTTAACCGAGTAAAACGAGCACCTATTTTTCCATAATTACAGGTAAGTGTAGTCGACGAGCTCGGTATTCCCGTGAAGTTTGTGGGTGTTGGAGAAGGAGTGGAGGATCTCCAACCGTTTGATGCCGAGGCTTTTGTAAATGCAATATTTCCATGAGATATGAACAATCACCAACTTCTACACCTCTAGGTTAGCAATATTTTCATTTCAGTTCCCTAAAAAAAATAAGCAATATGCTTTTTTTTTTGTTTCATAATGAAAGCTGTACAAAGAGGCAGTTAGGTTATTATGTATATATGGAGCAAACAACGAAACCGTTGAGCAATAAAAAGACAGAGATAATGAAAGAAAATAATGATGGGAGCTTTATAAGGACAAATGAAAAAATAAACACACTTGCGATAGCCCCTCAGTCCTTTTGTAGTCAATTTTATCTGTTCTCATGAAAGAGTGCTTTCTCTAATTATAACTCTCAGGAAACGGTTCCATGTACAAACAATATGTTGATTTCACGAGCAATGCACTGGACTTGAGATTGTCTCAGTGAAAAGAGGTGTGCTCGGTCTATTAAGTGCTCAATTGAGTCGGGATTCGAATTTTCTGGGTTCCATCCATTTAGTACTGGAGGCATTGTTGTAGATTTAAAATTTGAACCTGAGGTTTGTAATTAAGTTGACTTGTGAGATGTAAGCAGGCTATTAGGGTATTTAGTTTTTCTGTGTGCAGACACAATACATCTTTATGCATGAAGCGCACACACAGACATACACACACTTTCATATTATACATGCAGATATTCATACACTTCTAACATCCCAACAAGAGAAGCTTCATAGACTGGAATCCGGCATATTGAAGTACGTAAGATGAGTTGTGTACACCGGTCGCCCGGGTTCCTTAAACAGGAAATCGTCTTCAACTGCTGTTATGTTATTCTCTCTCTTTACAACAGATCCATTGACGACTAGCTGGGCGCCCTAAACTAATCATGTCAAAACAGTAAAATTGCATGAG